ACATGCAGTTGAAAGAAGTAATGCAGAGAGATCCTTTGTACATTTTATTAAACTATATAGTAAAAATCACTGCAGGGACAGCATTAATAGCAATTCATTGGTCTTATTCCTCAATTTTCCTGGTACTCATGTGTGTGTGTTTAGGTAGTTCTATACAGTTTTGTCATGTGTAGGTTCATAGAGCCACTATCACAGTCAAGATGCTGAACAGTCCCATCTCAGCAAGGATTCCTCACTGGCCTTTTATAATTACTTCCTTCCCACTCTGACCTCCCATCCATAATCTTTGCTATCCAATGGTCTGTCCTCTATTTCTAAACCTTTGTCATTTTAAGAGCATTATTGAGTGAAATCATACAGTATGTAAACTTTGGGGATTGCTTTTATCACTCAGCATAATTCCCTGGAGGTTAACCTGAGTGGTGCATATCAATAGAGCTTTACTTTTTAATGCTGAGGAATATTCCATGGTATGTATATACCACCCACCTGCAACTCGGGAGACCCCAGTTCAATTCCTGGGTCAGGAAGATCCCCTGGAGAAGGGATAGTCTACCTACTCCAGTATTCTTGGGCTTCCCTGGTGGCTCAGACTAAAGAATTCACCTGAAATGCGGGAGACCTGGGTTTGATACCTGGGTTGGGAAGATCCCCTGGAGGAGGGCATGGCAACCTACGCCAGTATTCTTGCCTGGAGAATCCCCAAGGACAGAGGAGCATGATGGGGTACAGTCCATGGGGTAGCAAAGAGTCAGACGCAACTGAGCAACTAAGCACAGCACAGCATGGCACATGAGTATACCACACACAGTTTGTTGTCAGATTCACCTGTGAAAGACATACAGGCTGATTTCAGTTTTTCACAATTGAAAATAAAACTGCTTTGATCATTTGTTTATAGTAATTTGTGTACATGTAAACTTTCATTTTTCTGAGATAATTGCCAAAGAGTATAATTGTTGTGTTGTATGGTAATTGAATGTAAATTTTCTCTCTCTCTCTTTTTTTTAAGGAACTGCCAAGTTGTTTTCCAAAACGGCTGGGCTTTCTATTCTGTTGTATTGATTTATGTCTGTCCCTCACTAATACCACAGTTTTTTTTTGTTTTTTTTTTATTTATTTTTTTTTTATCACAACCATAGTGTATCTTTTTTTTTTTTTTTTTTACGTGTATTCCCCATCCCGGTCCCCCCTCCCACCTCCCTCTCCACCCAATCCCTCTGGGTCTTCCCAGTGCACCAGGCACGAGCACTTGTCTCATGCACCCAACCTGGGCTGGTGAACTGTTTCACCCTAGATAATATACGTGTTTCAATGCTGTTCTCTTGAAACATCCCACCCTCGCCTTCTCCCAGTGTCCACAAGTCTGTTCTATACATAGGAGTCTCTTTTTCTGTTTTGCACTTAGGGTTATCGTTACCATCTTTCTAAATTCCATATATATGTGTTAGTATACTGTAATGGTCTTTATCTTTCTGGCTTACTTCGCTCTGTATAATGGGCTCCAGTTTCATCCATCTCATTAGAACTGATTCAAATGAATTCTTTTTAATGGCTGAGTAATATTCCATGGTGTACATGTACCACAGCTTCCTCATCCATTCCTCTGCTGATGGGCATCTAGGTTGCTTCCATGTCCTGGCTATTATAAACAGTGCTGCGATGAACATTGGGGTACACGTGTCTCTTTCAGATCTGGTTTCCTCGGTGTGTATGCCCAGAAGTGGGATTGCTGGGTCATATGGCAGTTCTATTTCCAGCTTTTTAAGAAATCTCCACACTGTTTTCCATAGTGGCTGTACTAGTTTGCATTCCCACCAACAGTGTAAGAGGGTTCCCTTTTCTCCACACCCTCTCCAGCATTTATTGCTTGTAGACTTTTGGATAGCAGCCATCCTGACTGGCGTGTAATGGTACCTCATTGTGGTTTTGATTTGCATTTCTCTGATAATGAGTGATGTTGAGCATCTTTTCATGTGTTTGTTAGCCATCTGTATGTCTTCCTTGGAGAAATGTCTGTTCAGTTCTTTGGCCCATTTTTTGATTGGGTCATTTATTTTTCTGGAGTTGAGCTGGAGGAGTTGCTTGTATATTTTTGAGATTAATCCTTTGTCTGTTGCTTCGTTTGCTATTATTTTCTCCAAATCTGAGGGCTGTCTTTTCACCTTGCTTATAGTTTCCTTTGTTGTGCAAAAGCTTTTAAGTTTCATTAGGTCCCATTTGTTTATTTTTGCTTTTATTTCTAAAATTCTGGGATGTGGGTCATAGAGGATCCTGCTGTGATTTATGTCGGAGAGTGTTTTGCCTATGTTCTCCTCTAGGAGTTTTATAGTTTCTGGTCTTACATTTAGATCTTTAATCCATCTTGAGTTTATTTTTGTGTATGGTGTTAGAAAGTGTTCTAGTTTCATTCTTTTACAGGTGGTTGACCAGTTTTCCCAGCACCACTTGTTAAAGAGGTTGTCTTTTTTCCATTAATACCACAGTTTTAATTGCTGTCATTTTTAAATAACTCTTGGAATCAGATTGTTTAAAAGTAAGCTTATATGAGCAAACCTCTCTTGATAAAGGGTGTCAAAATTGTCAGAATCTGAGAAAAACTACAGTGATTTTTATATTCATTATTTTTTAAAGGCCATGCTATTTTATAAGCATTCATTTTATTTTAGACACTTGAATTTTTGAACCCTATTGCTATTATTCAATCTAAAAATATTTAACAGTAATTTATTATGATAAAATATTCAGTCATTGTTTAAAAATTCCAGTTGTTTCAGTGTAGACTTTTAATATTTTGTTTTAGGATCCAAATAAGGTTTGCCATAATTAGTAGTTGGATCTTGAGACTTGATAGGGTCAGATTTTATCTTATTTATATATTTTTGGGCAAAATACTTCATAAGTGGTGGTATATTCTCCTACTTGGAAGCACATAATATCTGGTTCTTTCCCTTTTTTGGTAAGGGATTGATTATATTCAAGTGACCTGATCCACTAGTTCTTTAAGGGTTGCAAAATAATAATTTTTGAACTGTTCTTCCTTAGTTGATTGCTGGACTAACTATATAAAGAGGAACATTCCCTCAGCTCCCCAAGACTGTAGTTCTTATGGGAAAGACAGGACAAATACTTGATTCATTTCCTTTGACAGTTTGGAAAATGGTTTCCCAGCTTTTTTAACATCATTATAAACTCATGGATTTAGAATGTTTGTGCTAACAATTGTAGTTAATAACCTCACTGACGTTCAAATTGTTCCTTCTCTGGCCATTGGGTACCTTTTCAGTGGGTTCTTGAATCTTTTTTGTTGGCCTAAGCTTCCTTCACTTCCTTCCTATTTTGTTTTACAAGATGTTCCAGGTTCATCTTGAATGTTTCTTGCCCCAGTCCTGGAGTCAGACACTTCCCTAAGAAACCCTGGTTCCTTTTCGTGTGAGATGAGATTTGGAGACCAACCTGGCTAGTGGGGGTTGTTTTTTTCTTCAGAAGCCTGTATTTTTATAATGAATGAAAGCTATTGGCTTTATTCTAACCATATTAATATTGAATGAAAAGTAAGGTTGTGACTTTTTAATGACATATTTTTATGCTTTAAAAAAGATAAGAGGGCTAACTTTGTTTTATTTATTATAAATCTTCCCCAAACTGAATGAAAAAAAAGTGAAGTGCTAAACTGACAAAATATTCTTCTTGCATAGGAATATACAGAAGAGATAGAGCGTCTGAAACTGTATCTTGCTGCAACTTGTGAAAAAAATGAGTGTACATTTCTGAAGAAAATTTTAGGTAAGCCCTTGGTTATGGAAATTAATTTCTAAGAATGTACAGCAGAGGGAGTGTGGTCAGTAGTATTGTACTACCTTTGTGTGGTGACGGTTGATAACTAGACTTATTGTGGTGATCATTTTTAATGTATAAGAGTATCAAATCACTATGTTGTACACCCAAAACTAATGTGATATTGTAAGTCAATTATACTTCAATTAAAACTTATTTACTTGAACTATATCATTCATTTAATAACAATGTTGCATCCCTCTTGTACATTTAATATAGGAAAGCATTTCAAATGTCTCATCTAGTTTGAAGAGCTATTTCCAGTAAAGAACTGACAAAAGACTGTTAGAATGAACACTCTTCTCATACCACCTCAACTTTATCTTTTCCTTTAATCAATATGTCTAACGAATAGTTTGAGGAAATCTACATTCTTAAAATTCTTTGTCATCTAAGCACAATGTGGAATAGAAAATGGTTGGTAGTTACAAAGGAACTAGAAGAATGCAAACGACAGCACTTACTTCTGACACTTGCTAATCTCAAGAAATCAGAGAGGCTTGTTAAAGCAGACCAGAATTGTCTGGTGCAAAATGTCAGTAGTGTTAAAGCTGAGAAGCTGTGCTCTAGAGAAGAATTGTTTATCTCATGAGGACTTTTGTGGTGGTGTGATAGTGGTATGTGTGTTGGGGTGTGTACTGGGGTCTGTGTGCTGGGTGCAGGAGGTTTAATTGCTCTGTATGCATACTTTAGTTTTCCAGGTTTTCGCCCCTTATATTTACCCCTTCCTCCTGTGACACCTGATGCTTTCACACTACAAGCCTCTTTGGGATTCTGCCTGTCTTGTTTATTATTTTTCATATTCCTGATTATAGACACCTAGTTGTATCCCGCACCTCTGCTTATGTGGGTTATAGTCCTCTGTCACCTTTGTAGCTTCTCAAATTTTATATACATACATGTTTTTTTTCCCCCTGTAATCGGTAGGGATTCTCAGTTTCAAAATGGAGAAAACAAGAAAAACAGTCTCTTTATAAACCTAAGACAAAGAATACATTTGTTTTTTACACTTTGTATCTATTGCTTATTGATACTTAGACATCATTATCATGATAGTGGTAAACAGTAGAGATGATACGTAACTGCCTCAGTTGTGTTAGAGTAAATTTTCTAGGCATTAGGAAACAATATTCACATTAAAATCCTTTTAAATTTTATTTTAGAGCTATGAGTGGAAAACTAACTGTTCAAGAGGAAGAAATTGTAGAATTGGTTGAAAAAATTGCTGCTGTTGAGGAAGAGCTAAATAGGGTAAGCATTCAAAATTGTATTGACTGTCATGTAAAAAGCAAATATTAAAAGGCAATTTCAGAATGTGAGGGACCTGATATTTTTTCTTTAAGATTTTTTTTCTTACTGACCTCTAAACTAAAATTAAGTTGTATCACTGTTTTTTTAAATTATCATTAGTGATAATGAAGAAGTGAGTCTCTTTTGAAGAAGTTATTCTATTTGACACATACTAATGTAGCATTTTAAGAAATTAACTAAATTGTGTAATTTAATATGAAAGTTGTATAGTGAATGCTGAGACATTTTCATCAACATGTTTATCAGGTGACTAAAGGCAGATGTTGGGAGAAACCAGATGTTAAATAACTAAGGTTGAAAGACCTGACCCTTCAGTGCCACCCTCATACTGGCAGTGTTGAAAGGAATCTGAAGAAGTAACACCATTTCATTAGACCTGTTACTTGTTTTTGTTTGGTTGGCTATGCCCCATGATTTGTGGAATGTTAGTTCCCTGACCAGGGATCAAACCTGTGCCTGTAGCACTAGATATGCAGAGTCCTAACTACTGGACCACCAGTAGTAGTAGTAGTTATAGGAAGAAACCAGTTACCATATGAAATGTTCTAACCTACCTGGTAACTTGTTACAACTTTTATTTGGAAATAATTTGTTATAGGTAGGTTACAGAATTGTTTATGGATAGTAAAAATGAACTTAACCAGTGCAGATCTGACCTGCAAAGTAAGACACAGGAACTTGAAACCACTCAAAGACATTTACAGGAAACAAAATTACAGCTTGTTGAAGAAGAATATTTCACCTCGGCTTTGGAAAGTACTGAGGAGGGACTTCATGATGCTGCCAGTAGGGTTTGTCTTTTGTTTTTATTTGTAGTCGTGTTAAAGAAGTTAAAGAATGGCTAGAAGTAACTTTCTTAGCATAAGAAAAGAAACTATGAAATTCTACTTATTCACTACAAATGATACTTCTGTCCATTTAAGAAACATTATTTTACTATTTCATCTAGATTTTCTTTACTGGAGATGCTTATTTAAGAAAAATCTATTCCTCTAGTTTTGAAAATAGAACCTGACTTTAATATACTTTGTGGATGTTTAAAATAATGGTGTCATACTGCTTTACCTGTGGTCATGGTTGAGACTAATTAGTCATCAAGAATTTAGTATCTTCTAATGATGGACGATATTGAAAGTACTCACTTCTTTATTAGGTGTATCCTTCAGAAGTTAGTAACACATGAAAGTGAAAGTCACTCAATCGTGTCCAACTCTTTATGACCCCATGGACTATACAGTCCATGGGATTCTCCAGGACAGATTACTGGAGTGGTGGGTTGCCTTTTCCTTCTCCAGGGGATCTTCTCAACCAAGGGATCGAACCCAGGTCTCTTGCATTGCAGGAAGATTCTTCACCAACTGAGCCACAAGGGAAGCCCACTAATACTGGAGTGGGTAGCCTATCCCTTCTCCAGTGGATCTTCCTGACTCAGGAATTGAACCAGGGTCTCCTGCCTTAGTAACATATATTGGGTAAGAATTTGTGAGGGAGCATAATTATTAAAATTGATTGGCAAAATCAGTTTTCCTTGTCTAGATGGCTAGCAGAGGAGAAATAAACATTGGCATGAATTTTAAAATTTCTTCTGATACTATATAAAATTTACCAGTTCTCTTTAGAAGTCTTTAATGAAGCACACATATTTTCATTAGATTGCTTTTGTCATATCCATCTTATCAACACTTATTTTTAAAAATCATATACAGTTGCTTAACACAGTTGAAAAAACTACAAAAGATGTATTTGGTCTCCATTCTAAACTGGATCGTAAGAAGGCAGTTGATCAGCATAATGCAGAAGTTCAAGATGTTTTTGGCAAAAACTTGAATAGTCTGTTTCATAATATGAAAGAATTAATTAAGGATGGCAGCACGAAACAAAAGGCCATGCTTGAAGTTCACAAGACCTCGTTTGGTAATTACAAACATTTCTTTTTTTTTTTAGTTGAAGGATAGTTGCTTTACAGAATTTTGTTGGTTTCTGCCAAACATCAGCATGAATGAGCCATAGGTATACATATGTCCCCTTCTTCTTGAAACTCTCTCCCATCTCCCTCCCCATTCCACCCCTCTAGGTTGTTGCAGAGCCCATGTTTGAGTTCCCTGAGTCATATAGCAAATTCCCCTTGGCTGTCTATTTTTACATATGGTAATATGTTTCCATGTTACTCTCCATTCATCTCACCCTCTCCTTCCTCCCCCCGCCCATGTCCATAAATCTGTTCTCTACATCTGTGTCTCCTTGGCTGCCCTGCAAATAATTTCATCAGTACCATCTTTAGTTCAAGCATTTCTTATTCCAGTCTTATTGTGTTTAGTGTGAGACTGATTTCAAAACTGATACTAAAGTGTTATTTTCACCATAGAAAATTTGGAAGATGCAGACATGAAAAATTTAAAAAGTCACTTAGAGTTTAAGCTAACCCCTAAAAAATTTATTGATTGATTTCTAGTTTCTCTTCTTTAACCTTTTTTATCTACAGTAATCCTGTGTATTCCTTTTAGTTAGAGATTCATTTTTAGATTATTCTGACTCTTACACTGAGTTACAGTTTTGGGTCTGATACACTTACAGATGTGCCAAGTGCTTCCCGAATACTATAGAACACAATTTATGTTTAAAATAATTCCATGCTTATGTAGTGAGTCAATTATTTTAAGCTTATTTGTTACAAATTTCCACAACAGGGATATGAATTTTGCCAAGGTTGTATTTGTGTTTAAATACACATTTAAGTCCAGGTTGACATCTTTTTTCTTATTGGTGTAGGCACCCTGCTGACGTCCAGTGTCTCTGCATTAGACACTACTACTGCAGCAGCACTTGGATCTCTCACATTGATTCCAGAAAATGTGTCTACACTTGTTTCTCAGATGTCTAATATGATATTGAAGGAACAGTCGTTAGCAGCAGAAAGTAAAACTGTACTTCAGGAATTGATTGTTAGTAAATCTTTGATTACATTTAATAAGTCCCCAAAAACAATGTTAACTGCTCTTCTTTCATCTTAAGCTTTACTAGACACAGTGGTAAACAGATTACTTCAATAGAGTAGGTTTATATTTTTAAAGACAGGTCTCTTCACTGCTTTTTTTCCTCCCAGAAAGACTAATTTCCAATAGCATATATATAACCTTCGAAACCTTTTTCACTGCTATTCTGTAACACAGATGTAGGAGTTCGTATGCCTTTTAATAACTAGAAAGAGTTGTAGGTTTAGCTCCACATGAATTCAAGGGACCTATGACTTGTTAGCTAGCTCAGAAATTGGTCAGTTTTCCTTTACTTAAGGGTCCTGGAATCGTCATGCTAATGTTACACTGACCCAACCGGAAGGGTATATTAAGTAGTTAACTTTAAAACTACAGAAATACAGAAAAACGTGTAAGAAAAATGACTTACAGAATTTTGGGGAACATATATAACAATTTGTGGGGTCCAATATGTGTAATCAGGTCCTTCTGGCCTGTAACTGTGAGGCTTTTTTCCATAATTCTGTAGAAGCCAGTCATCTAATTATACAATGTTGTTTACCTTCTCCACACCTGATTTCTTTATACCCTTTATTTTGTAATTGTATCATTTGTCTAGGAAGTTCTTGGCCATAAAACTTACTTTGGTTTTTCCCTCTGTATAGGCTCTCTGCCTCCCTTTTTGAGTTTAAGAATATTTGTTGAACATTTTCCAAGTAAATACTGCTCATGTTAGCCAACATTCTGCCTAAATTCCATGCTTGTATGACATTATTAGGTAGATTTCTTTAGTCACCCAAATTTGACAAAGTTAAAAGATGCCCACTGGTACTTACTTTTTGGGAATTTTTTTTAATTGGACTATAATTGCTTTACAATGTTCTGTTTGTTTCTGCTGTATGAAAATTGATTCACTCACTCAATAAATGGTAGTCTCTGTTTATTGATGTCTTCCTACCAAGTCATAAGCAAGCTTGAGTCTGAAGAGGTGATTGCTGTTCCCACAGAATGAGTTGAAATTAGTATGATAGCTCTTCTTTCAAAAGAAAACCAGTACTCTTTTAAGCATTTACTAATTATTTGGTTATAGTTCTTCATCCTTGCCCTAGTGATAGGAGCTTAGTTCAGAATTTTTTTTCTTCCTTTTATAAAAAATTCCAATCTACAATACTTTCTAACCTTTCTATGTACCTTGACATGAACCAGAACCATGACAAGTTCTTATCCAATAGAATGTAAATCACTAGTTCTTCAAACTTAAATGCCTCCAACCCAGAGCCTACTTTTCAAGGCTATTTGGTTTCAGCTCTTTTGACTTAGTAACCTAAAGTTGTTTGAAATTTATTTCTTTGAAATACAATTGTAGGTGTTTTTTTTTTCCTTTCTTTGTTTGCATTGCTGAAATTTTATCAAATGACTGTCATTTTCCCCTCTTCTGAGTTCTTCTGACTTATGTTACGGTAGACTATTAAGAATTTATTGTACATAAAATGACCATTTCTTAATTCCTATATGCAGGATTAAGTGATTTATGATGAATATAAACTCTAGCAGTAGGCTCTGTAGGCTATAAAAAAGAGGACACTTAGGATTTTAATAATCACATGTTTAGTTAACAGGGTATTTAAGATGTTATCATTTAACTAGCCAGATTTATGCAAGTGAAAATATCCTTTTTTAAAGACTTGTGTATTTATTTTTCAAACCAGAATGTACTTAAGACTGACCACCTCAGTTCACTGGGAACAGCTTTATCCCCCACTGTGGTATCTATACTGGAAATCAATAGTCAACTGAAGAATATTTTCAAGACTTTGTCAACTGAGGCTAATAAGGTAACGAATATTCTTATTATCTCAAATTGTTAAGAAAGAAACTCCACATGAATTCAAGGGACCCAGGACTGGTTAATTGAGAAGTGTCTATATGCAGAACCCGTGGGTTATGAGAAGGAATCTGGAGGAGGGA